GCACGGCATCTCCTGCCGCCACAGCCCTCCCCACGGAGGAGAAGGCTTAAAAGCCACCCAGGCACCTGACCAACATGACAGACCTCGAAATGCCCCTCGGATTATTTACCTGTTGGCAACCTCTCCTGAAACCCACACCTTCCCCAATCCTTCTGCCCCGTGCCTGCTGCTGACAGTCCATCAAAGTCTTTTTTGCATGCTCTGACTGTACAAAGATTAAAACCGCTCTCAAGTACACACCAAGTGCATCCCCCTCAGAAATCATTCCTCACACACAGGTCTACAAATACGCCTGGAAGTCCTGGTCTTCAGAGTCCAGGAGAGCATCCTTTTTGTCCTCGCTCTCATCCTGCTGCACATGGTACGACCGTTCAGCAAACTGCACTGCATCGTGGATGCTGTGGAAAGCCAGCTGACCACTGCTGTCTGTCTTGCCAGCCCAACCTCCCTTCCGGAGCCGGTGGCGGATGGAAGGGTTGCAGTTGGCCAGGAGCACCTGGACACCAATCTCCTTGTAGTCATGATGTATCTCCTTCAGTGCAGAGAGACCCCCAGTATCTATGAACTGCATTGCCCCACAGTCAAGGATTAAGGTGTGTAGATCTATGGAGGGAAGACAGGCATCTGCTGGAGGCTTCTCAGTTCTTTCCTTGGCAGGTTTCAGACAGTCAAACCTGGCGCTGAAAAAGCTCTTGCTGTTGCCTGTGTCTGCGTCTGCCTGGGCCTCCACCCTTTGTTGCATAGCACGCAGCAGGATAGGATTTACCCCAGTTTTCTGGTAGAGAACAGTCTTGAAATAGTCCTTGTTGGCATAGTAGAGGGATGACTCGAAGCGGAAGATTTTGATGTTGGCAATACTGCTGAGCTGCCTGTAAGTGGACTGGTCCTCATAGATTTCCGTGTTGCTGACCTTGCCCAGGAGCGTGGCCCTGGGTCTCTGAGTGCGGAAGATGATGCAGAGCAGAGCGAAGCAGACGCCCACAAGGAGCCCGATCTCTGTGGTGATCAGCGTGGAGGACAGCATGGTTGTCCACCACACCACCGTGTCCAGCTTGCTGAGCTGCCACATGCGGCGAATGTCACGGAACTTCCTCAAGCCCCCCCGCAGGTTGACAATGGTGACCACTCCCAGGATGCAGGTCTGCAGTGAGTAGAAGAGTGGGGCGATCCACAGCAGCACTAGCAGCAGCACCAGGGAGGTGATCAGGCTGGAGATCTGGGTCTGGGTCCCCGTGGACTCCTTCAGCAGAGTCTTGGTCAGGGCTGCAGAGCTGGCAAAGCAGTAGAAGAAAGAAGAGATGAAGTTGCACATGCCAATGGCAATCATCTCTTGGTTGGCACGGACAGCGTAGCCATGCTTTTTGCCGAAGATTTCTGCCAGGGAGACAGTCATGGTAAAGCCAATAACAGCAATGGGCACAGCATCAACTGCCAGGCTGGAAAACAGGCTTGTATCTGGTAGAGTGGGTTTCCTGAAACCGGTGGGGATACTCCCACAAACAGCAGACTCGTATCGTTCTTCAAAGTTAAAGTAGTAAGATATTATAGTGGCTACAATGACCACCAGCAGCTCTATGGGGAACGGGGCCTTCATCTTCTCCTTATACCGGTCATTGATGTCTTTGACAGGCACTATGATGGCCAAAGCAACCAGGCTGGTGACCAGGTCACAGATGTTGGTGTTCTGGATGTATCTGAAGATGTCAATCCACGTCAGGATGGAGGACCCCACTCCGTTGTGACTAGGTATACTCAGTCCCAGGAGATACTTCATCTGGGAGGTGATTATGGTAAGGCTGGAGCCAGTCACAAAGCCACTGAGGAGAGGTTCTGACAAGTAGACAGCCACAAAACCCAGGTGTAAAAACCCCAGCAGGATCTGAAAAGCAAGCCCACAATACCTTTAGAATCGATGAGAAGGGCTAGGAGAAGTGGCTGGCAATTTATGTCAGTTTGCTTCCACTTTAGCAGCTCTGGCTATTCTGTCTGCTAAGCATTCAGTGTAAGGCAGAGGACTTTGTCTCCAGTAGTTAATCAGGGGTACGGAAAACTAGAGACCTACCTATAAGACTCGTCTGTGGCTAGAGGTGCCATACAAAGAAGCCTACAAGGTCCCTGCCGCTGTCTCCTTACAAGCAATAAGGGTGCACAGCTAACACTAAAATTCCAGGCAGCAGCCACATCAAAGCAGCTGTGAGTGTGTTACTTGGTGGCATAAAACCAGTGCAAGGCACTGAATTTTAGTTGTCCTGTTGAAAGATCCTGAAGATGTTCAGTGACAGCTAGGCCCAGGCAGTGGGGACATTGCCAGGGAGTATAACCTTAGAAGGGGCCCCTGCCAACAGCAGGGTCCTTGATGGCTCTTCTTGCCAGCCCCAAACCTGCTCTAACCTGCACCAGAAGCCAGCCCAGTTCAAGGAGTGGGGTGGTGGTAAGGTGGTTCACAGTTCCCTCTCCTCCTTTGCTATGTCTGATCCTGAAGGATGTTTCAGACACTTCCAAGGACCTGGCCTATCACATGGGGGCAACAAAACCCCACATTCAGCTCTGTTTGGGGGTTTCTAAATCACTACATTTGATTCAAGGGTGTTTGAGTCAAGTCTTGTCAGGAAAGGTTTCTCACGACTTGTAAGTCTGAACAAAGACTGGAGCTTAGAGATCTTTAGCTCAAAGTTCCTAGCAGAGAAAGGACAGAGAGGAAACAGCACAACAGTGAACATTTGTACCTGGTAAAGACCAACCAGAAAGCTTAAGGTAAGGGCCACAGTGATAGCGTAGCAGCTCTTGTCACAGGCAGCTGTCCCGTTACTGAAGGAAGTGGAGTTGTTCACCAGTGAAGAGTTAGTGTCGTCATCGCTGTACCCTGCTTGCTGGAGGTGCCGGTTCACAGACTGCCCAATCATCAGGCACAGGACACCAAAGGAGCCCACGAAGTTATGGCGCGATGTGGCCATAGAGAAGTAGATGATACTGCAGAAGAAGTTGGTGTAGAGTCCGTAGATGGCATCCTGGTTGGCTAAGAGGGAGTAAGAGATGGACTGAGGAATGGCAACTATCCCCACCAGGAGCCCAGATATGACATCCCCAAGCAACTGCGTCTTGATGTTGTAACGGGGAAGCCATTCCAGCACTGGGAACAGCTGACAGAAGATGGTTTGACGATTGCGAGTGCAGACCTCTCTGGCTTTCTTTAGGATGAGATCCTTGGTGCTGAAGTCTGCAGGCTCATACTCCTCCAATTTGACATGTATAAAACTGGCAGGACTCTCTTCTGGCGTTAGGGAGCTCTGTACCTCTCTGCTCTGTCCTGACTTCTGGCTCGACATGTTCTCCATTGCACCAGGAGAGCTAGGGCAGAAGAGCAGGCAGCTATGAGGTGTTGCAGTCATGTACATCCTGTGCTTTGCTTAGCGCCAGGGCTCATGCAGATTGCACAGATACATAAATAAAGGAAAAGAACCTCAGACAAATCAAACAGAAAAGCACCTTCCCGTGGTGCCAGTTGATTCGTTTGTTTTCACTTACGGAACAGATTAACCACAACTCTGAGACTGTGGTTCACTGTCTCCCTGTATTCACACTGGCACAGATGCCCACATCGGGGACGGAGCTACAGACGCCTCTGTGCTCCTTCCTAACATACCTCTTGTTTTGAAACAGGACAGCAGAACCAGTTAAGATCAGACAATATTATTTCACTGAAACTAAAATTTCTTCAGGAACCATGAGTTTCTTGCTAACACTTCTACTTAAGCAAAAACTATTTTGAAAATGTTGATATATTCCTAGTGATGCTTTAGGAATGTAACATGTGGAAAAGGGAGGTAATCTGCAAAATAATTTTTCCTTTAATATTTCAAAATTTTAAATTAAACTACTGGCTTGCATCACACAGACCCACCACAGGGGCTCCTCTCTGCAGAATGAAAGCATCCTATTTTTTCAGTCTGGTTAAGTAACATAAACACTTTCCAGAGCTACTCCAAGTTTTCAGTCAAAATGCAGCTGCAACAAAACATACCTTTTTGTCAAAACTGAACACTACACACAGAGAAAAATTCTCCTGAGAGGAGACCTGGAGTGGCTGCAGTTCGGAAATTGAACTGGGATGATAAGAAATCCCATTCCCCTGCCCTACAGGTTCGTTTCACATCACTAGTCCCAATCCAAATCTCTTACCTCTGGCTGCAAGGAGACACACTGGGTGTTTCCTCACTACCTGGGGCTTCTACCCTGCGGACAGACCCGTCCCCTCACCTCGCAGCGTACACCGAACAGAGAAAGCACAAGGCTGCCAACTGCAAACCTGGTTCCTTTGCCTTCCTTCTGGACCGCGTGCTGCTTCCCTTGAGAAAAGATCTGCCCTTTTATCTCGCTCCAGCTGATGAAGATGGTTCATCCTGCCAAATAGTGCTTTATTTTGAAAACAAACATCGTTCTGGGAGAGTATTTTTGATGAAAACTTGTTCTGGCCGTAAAAAATGATTGAAGGGGTTTAGAGAAGTGCTCCTGCCAGACAGCAGTATTGCTGGTAGCTGGAGATGTGTTTGCTAAACAAGGGAATGATGGAAAGAAATCTCCCTGCGTGTGCTATTGCTCTGCCCCTCCCTGAACTGAGAGCGCATCGTTGCCTGAGTCCTGATGGGCTTCTCCACTCAGGTTTTCATCTATTCTGGTCAAGCTTTTGTTCCCCAAAACAATCAAAAAGCAAAACTTGTTCCAGAATGACTTTTCTTTCCTGGTAGCTCTTCCACCAGTGCAGATTTTGCTTTGCAGAAGTAAGCACAATTCAGTGAAGTGCAGGGTTGCATTTCTACTGTAGGTAAAGGTGAACAATTGCATTAGTGGGCAGGAAAAAAGTGATGTCTCATCATCCTGAACTGAAACAGCAGCCTCATAAATACCAGCTGTAACTGTCCTGCCCTTGTGATCCATGCCAACAATCCACACCAGCCCTCTCAGGACACATTCCCGCCTGCAGTCTCACCTCATTCTCCACCCTTTCTTTTCCATCTCTTCTCCATCAACCTGGTCTCTAAGGTTTTACTGCATGTGCCATTGCCCCATGGAGCAGGACAAATGCCTGGCAGTTGGGCGGCTTGGCCCCTGCCCCTGGCACTGACTGTGTTCTGGGCTTGGGAGGGGGCTGAGAGCATTTGGAGAGATGGTGTGGGGTATGGAGAAATGACATTTTCACAAGGCTTTGATTTAGATGCTGGGGAGACACCCTGAGGGAAGAGAAGGGGAAGATGAGCATCCTGAGCTACATTTATCTCATCAGTGGAAGTCTGTACCTCTGTAATTACAAGTAAACAAATAAGAAACATCAGTGCTCTCTGGCAGCAGGAAAAAATGAGAGCACATGGTAAGGGAGACAGCGGCTCAATGTATTTATCTATTTACAGAAATTCTTTACTCTGTGCCATTCCTTCACAGCTCAGGTATTTTCAGGTATTTCTGTTGATAGCTCCCCTTTCCCTTCCCCTTCTTTCTGTAATGGACTGTACCTTTCCTTAGCCTTGTCATTCCTCCTGTCCTTAAAAGATGATCCCTTCATATGCTTTATAATCCTTCCTAGTTATAACTGATTTGTGTCTTAGCCTGTCTGATGTTGTCTCTACTCACTTACTTTCCTTTTCCATCTTCTTCCCTAGTAAACGACCTAATTTTTCATCTTCTGTATGATTCCTTCATCTTGAAATTCAGTCACTGAAGAGCTGGCCAGACTGATCTTTTAAGCTGGCTGGTTTACTGGGATGAAAGACATGTGAGCACAATCCATCTTTGGGATTTGATCTTATTTAGGCAGCATTCATTTCCACTTCTGGATCTCTGATCCGTCCACTATGAAAAGAGGACAAAGCACTTTTGCCACCTGTGACAGTATCTAGGCTACCCTTAACCTCCACCCTGTCTTCATGGCCTGCTGCTGCTTTTCCTTCCAACTTCCATCTTCACTTACATATTGTGGAACTCTTTCGTTTGTTATCATTTCCTTTATCACCTGATATATCTTGGTAAGCCTTGATATAGTCATGCTCTTCCACCTCTCCCAGGCACTGGTTTTGGTGAGCAGTTCTTTTTTCCATTCCTTCTGTCTCTGTGCTTCCCCTGCCATCCTTTGTAAATGTGACTATCCTTTCAATTAAGTCTGAAGCCTTCCCTACAAATTTTTTCCTGTGTCTTGTATGCAAATTCCCAGTTGCTTTTGTATACTCAAATATATTCCATACTTTCCCTGCAATTACATTCTCCAGCTCCTTGTCCCAGCTGGCTTCGCCATGCATTCGGTTCTCTGCGCTGAGCTCTTCGAAACAGTGAGTCTTCATGCTACGGCAGCTTCTGCGTGGTCCTCTCTGCGCTGGAAATTCAGGCTGCGGGCGCTCAGGAAAGGCCATTTTATGTTCTCCATCCTGGCAGAAAGGATGTAAGAACATAATTGGTGATACTGAACACCGTGTACGTCACTGAAATCACTTTTACTGTATGAGGTGAGGCAAGGGTGGAAACTACAAACGTTTCTGATTTACTCTCGTGTCTCTTGTGTAGCAAACAGCTTAAAAAAAGAAACCCACAACGGAACTGCATGTGACCTTGAGCTGCTAAGGCTCTGCTGCCTTCCAAATGCAAGGTCACTACAGCTAACTGCTGAAACTGTTTGTTTTCAAACCCATCTTTAAGAGTTGTTCCCTATTGCCACTATAAACTCACTTAACTGTTTATGGGCAAGGTTGGATTGAACAGATGGTATTAGCTTGAACAATGCAAGCGTAGTCAGGACATTGCCTACCAGTAACACCCTCAGTTTTTAAGACAAGGAGAAAACATGAAATTCATATTTTTCATACCTGGCACAGTATGTAAGCAATGTAACATCCATCTATGCAACAGCCATTGCAGCTAGAAACAGAGCAGTGGAAACCCAAACTCTGGGTACAAGGAAAATGCAGTAGTGGGCTATTTTGCTTTTCTATCCCAAAAAAGAAAAAAAATCATGAAATTATCTGGGTCTGTGATTGTTACCCAGGATTTTTGCAATGGGTAAGCGTAGCAAAGTCAAGTTTCTGCTCCTGTGTCAATGCATCGCTTGTGTTTAACAAGACGACCTACCATCTTCAGTTTTCTTTGGAACAGTTAACTGCACTGCGCAAGGGTTTCTGATTTGCTTTAAGGCTTGTAAATACACTTATGACTACTTGACTCCTGGAAGCCTTTCAAGTAGCATCCCACGTTTTGGCTCCATAAATGGACCAGCCTGGCTTAGCACACGGCTGCACCCCACTGCTCTGCAGTTACTTAGGTCACATGCAACTTTCTTAAAAAAAAGGCAAGTGAGCCAGGTAACGGTGCCAGATATCTAAGAGAGATGCTCTTCCTTCCCTTCAGATTTGAGACTTGACAGTATTTTCGGATGGCCGCTGGTTCAGTTCCACTTGGAAATAAATTTTTAAGATGTAGACATCTGCAAAACATTACCATTTTTTAAGGAAAAAACAAAGAAAAGTAGACAAGTCCAGAATTGGTCCCACTGCTGAGGTGCAGCAAAATGCAACAAGAGCACCTGAGGACAAAAAAGCTGAACAGAACCTCTCCGATGGCTTCTTGGAAAGCAATTATTCGCATTTCTGCAAGAGATAACACCAGAGAACGTGGAAGCAGTACACTAGGTCCCAGAAAATACAAGTTTTTGCAGCCTCCTGTTGTTTTGCAGTGCAGTTTATGCTAATGTGTAGGGGTCACAGCAAAGCAGAGAGAAACGTTCTCTCCAGACATAAACACTGCGAGGCCAAAGGTGTTGCTCACCCGTGACTGCACATGGTAATGCAGTCACGCCACTCTGAAGTTTGAGCGGGACCAAGGAGCCTACAAATAAGTAATGATAAAGAACATCTGTTTAAACTACTGTGTGCTCCCAGGAATGAGCCATGAAGACAGACATGCCAGGAATGGTTTTTAGTGCATTTTGAAAGATGTGAGATGGAGCATATGTCCTTGGAAAGAGACTCAGTGCAGGGGCAGCAGATCTAAAAGGTTGTGGACGAGCACCTTTGGCTGCAGAGGTCATACACTGCACATCTACTGTTCAGCTATTGAGGACACCGCATGCTGGGTCCACCCTGCTAACACCCTGCTACAAGTCCTTCCCTCATTCCTAGAAAATGGAAAAAAAGAGCACTTCCAGGTACATAAGCTAGAGAATTTGGAGAGCATTCCCAGCTCATATAAGGAGGGTGAAAATAACTCCTTGCCGACTTTTGCAGCACTTTGTTGCCGTTTTCATGTTTTTCCCTGCATGACCAATGTCCAGTGCTTATGACTCTCTTCC